GATAACACTTTTGTTGGAAAATAAAAACATCCTGTTTGGGTGTAAAGATCTCCATATGAGCAGGGGCTTTGTCTTATTGTCAGCCCTGCATTCCCAGAATCCAGAACACACAATAGTTGTTCAATAAACATTGAATGAGTGACTGAATTAATGAATAACTACAAGACTCAAGATACGGGGAAAACATCAACAGTGCAGACCTGAAAGGTGGGTTTAGGAGGGCCGGGCATGGTGCATGATGGTGCATGCCTGTAATCCCAGCTACCTGGGAGGTTGAGGAGGAGGATCCCAAGTTTAAAGCCAGACCGAACCACTTATTTCAAAATAAAATAAAAAGGGATGTGGCTCAGTGGCAGAGCACTTGCCTAACATGCTTAGAGCCTTGGGTTCAATCCCTAGTACCATTAAAAAAAAATGTTAGAAGGGACTTTTATTTTCTTAATATATTCCTATTTTCCTGAGCATTTTAAATGAGCATCTCTCATGCTTCTAATGAGGAAAGAAAAGACAGTAAAGGCATTGAAAGGGACAGAGCGTGGGTGTGGCAGTTTGGGAGGGGGAAGGGGGAGGAGCTCACTGAGAAGAATGGCAGGCTGGTGACCAGGGCAGGCCACCCACCACCACCCCACCCACACTCAGCCCAGGTCTGGCTGAGCCAATAGATCTTCCTGGTGGGCAGCTCAGGAAGCAGCTAGGGCTGCAGGAACCTTGTGGGAGGAAGAGGAGGCCCAGAGAGGGCCTGTGACTAGCCTGAGATCACACAGCAGGCCCAGGACAGATGAGCCAGGGCAGGGCTCAGCCTCCAACACCAGGATACCTGGACACCAGAAAAAGTTACTTCTGTTCCCAGCTCTGCTCACAGATAGGAAACTTGGGGCCCCAGGGGGAGAGAGAGCTAGAGGCTTTGGAGGCCAGGGAAGCTGGCCTTAGGATCCTAAGGTCAAGTTCCCTCAGAAACTCCAGAGACCTCCCACTCCCGGGGGCTGATCTGACTCTGACCCAAGACTAGCACCCCCCCCCCCCCACACACACACACACAGTGTCTCTATGAGATCAGAAAATACATGGCTGTAGGCATTGGCCACAGCCTCCTCTTCCTCCCCTCCAGATCCATTCCCATGTGGGGTCCTCAAGATACAGGCTGTCATACATTCTCCTGGAATCCTATACAGCCATGGAAAAGGACAGTGCTGCTCTGCAGGACACCCAAGTCACAAGGCTTGCTCCAGTGCAGGGTGAAGGAAGCCAGCCCTGGGGACCCAGGTCGCACATCCTTGCCCGAGACACTCTCGAAAAAAGCCAAAGAATAAAGACAGAAAAACAGGTCGGGTGGGGTGGGGGAGGGGTTGAAAGGAGCGCAAGGGCCCGGGGAGATGCGCTGTTGTGTAACTGGGTCGTGGGGGAGGCTCCGTGGCCAGATGTGTTTGACAAAAATTTGCAGAACAGGCTAAAAGGGAGGCATGTTTTAATATATGTAAACACGCCTTTGATTTATGGGGTTTTTGTTTGTTTTGTTCCTGGATCGAACCCAGGAGCGCTCTACCACTGAGCTCCAAACTCACTCCTTTGGATTTTTTGAGGCAGCATCTTGTTAAGTTGCTGAGGCTGGCCTTGAACTTGCAAACTTGCCATCCTCCTGCCTCAGCCTCCCAAGTTCCTGGGATTACAGGCATGTGACACTACACCTGGCTGCTCCTTTAAACTAAGATCCACCCCCCCCCAAAACCCTCCAATGGCTCCCTCCCATCTCAGAGTCAAAGCCAAAGGCTCCTCATTCTGCCCCCCTTCACCTCTTAGGCTCATCCCCACCCACTGCCCCCCGCCATTCTAGATTCCTTGTGTTCTTTAAATATACCCCAGGGTCTTTGCACTGGCTGCACTCTGTATCCGGACTGCTCTTCCCCCCAATACCACCAGACTCACTCCTTTACCTTCCTCAAGTCTTTCATCAAAAGAGCCCATCTGAGCTGAGCTCTGTCCTAGCCACACTGTCTGAAACCATGACCTCCCCGAGGAGCATACGCATCCACCTTCCAGCTCAAACTCCTTTCAAGGCACTTCTAACTAAGAGACTCTATATTTATTTTCTTCTTTTTTTCTCTCTCTCTATACTAGAACATTAACCGTATGAAGGGAAGGGGTTTTGTCTGTTTTATTTACTCTCATGTCCCCTTAGAACAGTGCCTGACATACAATAGGTGTTCAATAGTTGCTAAATTAATTAGAAATTGAGTGAATAAATAATACCTCATATATATATGATCTGGTCCGTGCATGGCCCCAGCAGGCCCCAGTCCCACAGCGGCTTTCACACACATTCATTCAACAACCCCACCAAACATTAATTGCTCATTTTTTTATTCTTTTACTTTTCCTTATTTGAGGAAGGATTTTGGGGGGTGGGGTTTAAAGACTCCAACAAGCGAAGAGACATTTACAAGCAGGAGCCAAAAAACAAGGAAGAGGGTGTAGTGCGGTCCCTCGGCCTTGGCAGGGATTTATCAGACAGAAATCTCCCAAGTCCAGGCTGAGGGTGGGGAGGACAGACACAGACACTGTGTAAATAAATGTGATGGCAAAGATGAGGGCTTCTGGGAGGAGATGATGTTTGGGCAACAGCACATGCAAAGGCTTAGAGACAGGGAAGCCGCCTGCTCATGAAATTTCTAGGAGCATGTTCTGGCCTCTCCAGCCATTTCAGTTCTTTGGAGGCAGGGAAGTCACCTGAGACACACAAGGTCTTATCTCCCTTGCTCAGGATGGAAGCCAGCCCTGACTCAGTCGAGGTCAAGGCCCTCTCTGACCCCAGAATCCCTTTGCATCTCCTGGTAAGTAATGATTCATCTTGTTTTGTTTCCCAACTCCCTGATACTCCATAACACACTTGTAAAACAAAAACAAATTGTCTGGCGGGGCTCAGTGGCACACACCTGTAATCCCAAGTGCACCATCTTCGGGGAAAGGAAGGAGGATCTCGAGTTCAAAGCCAGCCTCAGCAAAATCGAGGCACTAAGCAACTCAGTGAGACCCTGTCTCTCAATAAAATACAAAATAGGGCTGGGGATGGGGCTCAGTGGTTGAGTGCCCCTGAGTTCAATCCCTGGTACCCCCTCCAAAAAAAATTTTTTTAAAGTATCTAACAATAAAAATAATGACAATAGTTCCAAAGGTAAAAAATTTATGGGCAGAAGCGTTCACAAAAATTGCTATCCAAATAGCCAAGGTGTATATGAAAAGAAGCTCGAGTGTACCTGGTTGTAGGGCTCCTGCCTGGCATGCCGGGAGACCTTGGATTCAATCACTAATACAGAAAAGAAAGAAAGGGGCGGGGCACAATCAGTCACCAGGCAATTAAAGCCCCAGCAAGAATGCATTTCATGCTCATCAGAATGACTCAAATTAAAAAGACCCAACAAAACTCTCAAAATTGTTGGTAAGAAGCTAAAATGGTTCAACCACTTTGGGGAAAAAAAAAAAAAAAAAAGTCTGGCAGTTACTCACAAAACGACACCTACAGCCACTATAACATCCAAAAATCCATTGCAGGTGGCTACTACCCAAGGGGAATGCTCAGTTTGCAGATCCTAAAAGATGCCCCAAGAATGTTCACACCATGTTTATTTACGATAGTCCCAAAACACAACTCAAATGCCCTTCAACACGTGAACAGATAAATAAAGAGTCATGTGCGCACAATGGAGTACTTAGTTATAACAAAGATACAAGCCACAGCATGGACACATCTCAGATAAAGGCTGAGCAAAAGTACATGTTGTCTGATTCTGTTTAAAGGGTGTTCTAGAAAAAAGCTCTTCCGTCATTAATGCTAAAAGTCAGGGACTGTGGTTACCGCCCAGGTTGGGCACTGATTGGAAAGGGGACCCTAGGGAACCCTTTGGATGGTGGGCACCTGGGTGTGAATGGTCAAGTTGATGCGTTAATTAACAAAACAATAAAAGCAATCTGCAGTCGTGTGATTTCAAGTGGGCAGACACAGCCAAACTTCAGACACTAACGAGGAAAAGTCTGGGGTCCGAGGGGAGAGGGGACGACTGGTTAAGTCCCCTTTCCAATAAGCAGTCTGGGGGGAGCCCAAGGGTCCTGGGTCTTCAAGAAAAGTTCCCGCCTCTTTCTAGAACTCCGTGCCCCCCCAGTCCCGCCAGTCCCCACCCAATCTGTGGAGTGGAACCAGGGATTCCCAGCAATCTGTAGCCCTCTTTCACAGAGGTGGCATTTCGCCCCTACCCTTTGGGACTAATCCCACTCCAGCATCCCACAGCTGCTCACAGATGGATGGGCACCACCTGAGCCCCCTCCAGCATCCTGTGAATCGGGGATGCATTTCGCTGCTCCGGGCCTCGATTTGCGCACCTGTACAATGGAGCCAGGCATACCTATTTCTCGGGCTCGTGGTGAGAATTCTACCTGAGCACAGGGGACTCCTTACAGCGTGCTTCCTGCGTGAACAGGGCTGTGCACAAGCCGTGCACACAACAAGTGCTTAATAAATGATGCTGGTTGTGGTGACTGATTAGAATATTCCTACAGGTTGTTATAACATCTTTGAGAAGGGTCCATGGGCGGGGGGGGCGGGATGGAATCCTAGAGACGTCCGTAGAACCCAACCGGAGGGAAGAGCAGCTCAGCCGGCCGCAGGAGGAGAGCGCGTTGTTTTGTTTGGGGCTGCGAAAGTGGAACGCCGCCCGTGGGGGGCGCGCGGCCCCTTTAAGAGTCGAATGGAATGTATCAAAACAAAAAGGCCGCGCGCCCATTGGCTGCGCGCCGCACGTGACCTCACAGCTGATTTCCTGGCCGCCTCCGGGGCCCTCCCCCGCCCCCCGCCCCTCCTTTTTTTTTTTTTTTGTTGCTGCCGCCGCGGCCGCCGCCGAGTGTCAGTTTCAGCGCCGCCGCCTGCGGTCTCTCTCTCTCTCTCCGCCGGGTTTCCCCCCCCCCCCGGCCGCCCCGCGCCCGCAGCCGCCCTGCTCCTGTGCCCGGACCCCCCGACCCGCGCGGCCCGGCCCGCGCCCATGGCGCACTCGGCGGCCGCGGTACCGCTGGGCGCGCTGGAGCAGGGCTGCCCCATCCGCGTGGAGCACGACCGCCGGCGCCGCCAGTTCACCGTGCGCCTCAACGGTAACGGCGCCCCCGCCCTTTGTCTGCGCCAGCGGCCGGGGAGCGGGTCCCCGGGGGCGGGCGGGCGGGCGCCGCGGGGAGGGACGGCGCGCAGGGCGGGCGGGCGCGGGGCCAGGGGGCGCGCGGGGTGGGGGGGGGCCGGGGGCGGGGGCCCCGGGGACCGGTCGTCCGAGCCACCAGGGGACTCCACCTGCGCCGCCCGGCTGCCTGCCTTCCGGTGTCGGGGACCCGCGAGGGCCGCGGTCGTCGGGGACCTGCCCCCTTCCCCGGGCGGCTCAGGGGCTGGTCGCTGCCCCGGGAACTGGAGCTTTTTTTCCCTACACTAGAATCTGCCCCCTGGAGAGTCCTCCTGCCACCTGGGGCTGACGGGGAGGGGCTCTCTCTCTCTGCCCTCGCAGGGAGTGTGATATGGGTTTGTATGGGGAGGGTGACAATGAGGTGACTCTGGGACAGTGGCCACTCGGCCTGTCTCTTCTGAGTGCTTCGGGGAGTAGCGCACACTTCACTGGACGTGAAGGACGGAGCCGCGCATTGGGCTCCTAAAAATGTGGATGGAGCATTATTTTTTAAAAAAATATTTATTTTTTTAATTTTAGGTGGACACAATATTTTTATTTATTATTATTATTGTTGTTATTATTATTTTAATATTTATTTTTTAGTTTTCGGCGGACACAACATCTTTGTTTGTATGTGGTGCTGAGGGTCGAACCCGGGCCCCACGCATGCCAGGCCAGCGTGCTACCGCTTGAGCCACATCCCCAGCCCCCTATTTTTTATTATTTTTTAATATTTATTTTTTAGGTGTAGATGGGCACAACACAATGCCTTTATTTATTTATTTTTTTTAATGTGGTGCTGAGGATCCAACCTGGGTCCCCGCCTGTGCCAGGGCGAACCCCCTACCGCTTGAGCCACAATCCCAGCCCCCTGAGCATTATTATTATTATTTTTAATCAGAAAACAAGGTCAAGTCCTTAGTTCCTGTAGAGAGAGATTTTTACCAGCCCACATCCCCTTCCCCCCTAGAAGGTGGAAATAGAGGTTATGAAGTTGAGGACCGTGAACATCCTATCCCCCTGAACTCTCCACATTCCATCCCCAGCTCAGCCCTCCCTGGATACTGTCCAAGCCTCTTAGAGGCCACTGTGCCCATTTCAAAGAGGGAAAGATGGAGGCCCAGAGGTGGTCAGCCTCTGAGTTGAGGTAGCAGCGGAACAGCATTCTGCTTGCCTCCGGCCACTGGGCACTCATGGCCGTCGCAGGAACTGGGACTTCTGTTTGGGCATCCTGAGCATGGAGCTAGGCCCTACCACTTCCATGGCCTTCTGATGCAACTGTCACAATGTCTCTTAAGATGTGTGATGACACACCACCCCACATTACAGATAAGTAAATTGAGTTCAGAGCTGCAGGAAGTGTCTTGCTCAGCGTCACCTGAGGCCAGAGGCGAAAGCTCAAATCTGGACCCTGCTGACCCTGTCACACAGTCTTCCCTCATAGGAGCAAGTCTTTCTGCTGTGGTTCTGGCTGCGGCCCAATTGGCAGTGACATTCAGTGTTCCGGCCACTTTTGTGGGGAGAGCCTTGTGGCTTTTCAGATCCTCTCTTTTGAGGTTTTTCTGACTTCCAGGGGGGTTCTGGTTCCCCTGGTTGGCTCAGGAGGCCCAGGAGACTTGCAGAGAGAAAGAAAAAGGAATGTTTGAGGTTTTTTTTTTTTTTTTTTTTTTCCCCAAAAAATGGCAAAGGACAACCCTACTGGGGGCTGGCTGTCATCAAACCATATTCTTACACTTGTCCCCTTCTGGAACTTACTGCCCTGTGGCTAACTATAGGTGTGGCTAGGGATCCTCCCAGTCCAATTCAGAGGCAGAGGGAAGCTGGCAGCTCCTTTTAAGTCCCCAATATAGGCACAGCACAGCCCAGGGCTGGCCTCAGGGTGTCCAGGTGGCCTGGAGCTGGGTATATTTGAGGGCTGATGTGTGTCCAGCTTGGCCTGCCTGAGCTGGAGGGGCACAGACTCAGAGGGTCTCCTAGTGCCTGTACGGAAGCCTGAGGCTGGTGCCCCTGTGCCCATTAACAGATGTGGGCACTGAGTCTGAGCTGTCAAGCAGTCGGGGGCTGGCAGTGCAGGACCATGTTGGGACTGTCATTTCCCTGGCCTCCAGAGAAGGCTTATTCCTCAGGGTCTCCCTGTGGCAGAGCTGGGCTGTTTATCTTCCTGTGAGCTCTGGTTCTGAGTATCATTTACAGATGATACTGAGGCCCAGGCAGTGCAATGGCTGGCCAAAGTTTTGCATCCAAGGTGTGGAGGAGCTGGTATTTGTTCCCCAACTCTTTATTGAGCACCTATTGTGTGCCAGCACTCTTCAAGGTGCTAGGGACTCATGGAGCTGATAGCGTCGAGGGGGAACGTGGCTGATAGATAAATTGTGAAGTCTCCTAGACAAGTAGGACTCTGGGGAGAAGGGGCGCAGGAAAGATTGGCGGGTGTGTAGGAGTGAGGCTGCTGTTTCAAAATCAGGTGTCCAGGAAGGTCTCCTCCCAAGAAACGGAGAAAGAAACTAGCAAGAAACTGAGCGGCCCCAGCAAAGAATGTTCCAAGGCAAGGGAACATAGCGTCCAAAGGCCCTGTGCTGCCCGGTGCGCGTTCAGAGCAGCAGGGCAGAGTGGAGGGGCCGGTAGGTAGGAAGAGGGGCTGAGATCATGGTGAGCAGATGGCGCAGGGCCTCGGGAGTGTGAATTTGTATGAATTTGGCTTTGACTCTGAGGCAGGTGGATACTCTAGGGGCCCCGTGAGTGTCCACCTTTCCCTCTCCCTCCCTCCGCCAGGGCTGAGTGTCCATCTTTCTGCAAGGAGCAGGATCACCCAGGATCCCAGAATCCTGGAATTTTTCCACATTCTCCCCACCGCCCATTTGCAGATAGGAAGCCTGAGGCCCCCCAAGAGGCTTTGAGGCCTCTGGCCTCCCCCAGCACCCTGCAAGGTTGAGAATACAGTGCCTGGCCCCATGGGGGACCGTTTCCCGCCCCAATCACCAAGACCCCCTCCCCCCAGCACCCCTGGTCCACTGTGGCCTTTGTGTCTCCCTGTGACTACCTTCCCTGACGACTTGCTGGGCCCTTTGATGCTGCACAGGGCACTGGGGTAAAGAGCCACAGGAAGGTCCCCATTGGCATGGGGGCTTTTACTTCCTTTATTTGGCTGGTTAGTCAGTTGGTAGCTCCCACAGGCCTGGCCAGCACTCTACCTCTGAGCCACGCCCAAGCCCTGACCTTTAACTTTTGGGAACCAGCTACGATTCATGATCTGGATCTGATTCTCAGTCCTCCTAGGAAGGAGGTGGGTGGTATAGATTTGTCCCTGCTTCATTCAGGTTCAGCCACTCTGGCCTCCTTGCTGTTCCTCGAATATCCTACCCCAGGACCTTTGCACACACTGTCCTCACTACCCAACCTGTTCATACTCTAGATCTCCCCTCATTCCTTCTAGTCCTTGCACAAGAAAAACTTCCCCTGTACACTCTCTTTACAATGGCGCTCCCCCTCCCCCAAATCCCTGCCCCTTCTCTGCTATAATGTCCTATAATAGCACACAGATACCCATCACTTGAGAATCCTGAGTCATTTGTAATAATTATTGTTTATTACCTGTCTCCTCTACTGAAACAGAGCCTCCACGCGGGAGGATTTTGTTAGTTTTGTTCACTGCTCAGCACCCCATACTCTGCCTGAACAGAGTAGGCCCTCAGTGAATTTGGAGTAATTAATTAAATAGGGTAGGTGGGCAGCTCCCTCAGGGATCAGGTCAGTCCCAAATAGCTTCTCATGGCTGCTTGCCTGTCCCAAGGGGGCAGAGTTAAGCCCAGCAGATGCAGCCCTGAGGACCAAGTCCTGTGGGGTACAGCTGGGGCAGAGGTGGCCTTGGAAGCTGCAGCTGGGCATTGGCCAGGGCGGTAGGCATAGCCCACAGATCAACGGTCAGGCCAGGAGGGGGCGCCAGTGCAGGGCACCTGGAGGTGTGGGGCAGAGGAAGGGCTGGGGGAGAGCATTCTGGACCAAGAACTGCTCAGGCAAAGGCTTAGCGGCAGGAAGCAGGGGCGGTGGGCATGCCTTGGTGGGGCAGGAGAATGAACTTGGCTTGGGACTCAGAGGCCTGGTCCCCGCATCACCTTGAACCTGCTGTGTGACCCCTGACTCTGCAACGCACTTTCCTCAGCTGCCCGAGGAACTTGGGAGCTGGCTGGGGAGCCTCCCTCCTGGAGTTGGGGAGACCCAAGGGATTTCAGGGGCCAGAAAGCCTGACAAATGGGGGTGGGATCCTGTTCTGGGGTCTGATTTGCTTTTAGGACCCTGGGTGGGTCATTTGATCTCTTCTTCCCTTTGTGACAGCTAGCAGCACAGCAAGGCTGGCCACCCAAGCAGAATTTACTAATGTTAAGCCATGTAAAATGCAATTTTTTTTTTCCTTTCAAGTGAGAAATACGTGAAATACGATTGGCTCTTAAAACGCGGAGAAAGACAACTTGATGTTGACATGTTTTCCTTGGGAGCCAAGGAATGGTGTCTTCCAACCTCACACTGGCCGCCCCCTCTACCTGTCCTTCCTCCTCTCTTCCCTCAGCCATTTCCTGCTCATGTTCACACATCTCAGCTCAGGGAGTTTTCCGGGGAGGGCTCCTCCCGACTGCCCCTGGCATAATGGCCCTGACCCTCCCCGCACCCAGTGGATTTATCTCCTTCATGCACAAGAAACTCCCCGAAATTGGAAGGCTTGGGACAGCCTTGAGAGCACATGCCTGTCACATGCCAGCAATGTGGGAGGCTCGGGCACGAGTACTGCGAGTTCAAGGCCAACCTGGGAAACTTAAGATTAAAAAGTAAAGAGGGCTGGGGATGAAACTCGGTGGTCAAGCAGCCCTGGGTTCAACTCCCATTACAAAAGAAGGGACCCACCAATGAATGGAGCAGCATAAGGAGCAGAGGTCTAGCCGCACTCGGATCCTGCAAGGGAAAACCTCAGGGCAGCTCTGGGGTCCCACCTCTTCTCCTCCTCCCCAGGCTGCCCCCAGTGTCACCCACCAGGACCAGCGCAGCTAACACTGGTCTCCCTGCCCCTGTCCCCCCCGCCCCCCCCCCCCCCCCCCCCCCCGTGAAGTCGAGAATCACCTCCTGTGCATCGTCTTCCTGACCCATCTCGTGATGGCTTAGGCTATGCAGGACTGTCACCTCCCTGCCCTCTCCTCCATCCTCCTGATCACCTGCTCCACCCTAGCCACATAGCCTCGCCGTCCCTCCTATAGGGCCTCAGAGCCATTGCGCCTGCCTCCTCCTCCAGCACTCTGTCCCCCACCTAGCATTCCTCAGGGCTCTTTCCCACCCCGTGACACGTCATGCTGTGGGAGGCAGGTCTCTTGGTGTCTTGGCCTTTGCTTTATGCCCAGGATTGAAACCGTTCCCGGGGCTCCATAGACCACTCGATGGGAGGACGGAAGGGTGGCCATGTGTGTGAGTGGATAGTTGGATGGAAGGATGGTTAGGTGGACAGATGGACGACGTGTAGCTAAAAACTGGGACTGAGCCAGGTCCTGTGGCACACGCCTGTCATCCCAGCAGCTCAGGAGGCTGAGGCAGGAGGATCCCAAGTTCAAAGCCAGCCTCAGCAACGTAGCAAGGGCTAAAAAACTTAGCAAGACCTTGTCTCAAAATAAAAAGTAAAAAGGGCTGGGGATGTGGTTCAGGGGTTAAGCACCCTGGGTTCAATCCCTGATACTCAAAAAAAAAAAAAAAAAAACAACCCTGTGATTGGAGGAATCACAGCAGAAGTTGCAGGTGGCCTGGGGAGCCTCTGTCCTGGAGGTCTTGGGAGAGCAAGAAGACCCACTGCCTCCAACCCTGTGAGGAAGCTGAGGCCCAGAGGTTATTCAGAATTCAGTTCTAGTAACCTGGCTCCATGTGCCTGTCTCTCCATCCCAGTGTCCTCTCCTGGGTCCTGTAGGACTCTTGGCCAAAGCTGACCGAGCCTCAACCTGTTTGCATCTCCCATCCTCAGGGTGTCATGACCGGGCCGTCCTGCTCTATGAGTATGTGGGCAAACGGATTGTGGACCTGCAACACACCGAGGTACCGGATGCCTACCGCGGGCGTGGCATTGCCAAACACCTCGCCAAGGTAGGGTCGTCCGCAGGTGGGGGGGCCCTGGGGACAGTTACCCTCCCGCTCAGTCAGGCTGCGGCCTGGCAGTTGATTGCTGCGTGCTTTTTGGCCAGAGTATAGACCCACAGGTCTTCATTGCCAGCAGGTCACAGTGGGCAGTAGGGGTGTTGGGCAGTACTCTATACTCCCTGGCCCTCCTGAGGGAAGTGGCAGTCACTTGGGGCCCAGGCTCCCCATCGGCAGAACCCTGCTGCAGACACATCTCCAAGGTTACCACAGCCTAATTCTGTCCTAGGGCCCCAGACCTGGCACATAGTAGCTGCTCAGTAAGTTCTGGGGGGTGGGGGGGACAAATGGATGAACAGCCAGGTCAGTGGGCTCATGGCCCTTTCCCAATCCACCCCACAACTTTGTTCATCCTCAAAGCCCCTGAAACCTCAGGCTGCCTGGACTGTAGGTCTGAGCTTCATAAGGGCGATTGCTTCTGGAGCCGAGAATGGCCTTCAATTTCCCTGCAAGGCCTGCTCCCAGGCTTAGCTGGACCCTCTGTCGGCTCCCCCTCACCCACCACAGCCTCTGCTTCCTGGCTCAGGCTTGGGAAGGGGGTTATCCCGAGTCGCTAGGAAAGGGACCCCCTGTCGTGGGCCAAGTGGGAGGGTTGCTGTAGAACATGGGGGATGCAGAGGAGGTGGGTGACCACTACCTTCTCAGGCTGGGGGCTCTGACCACCCACTCTCTCCTCTGCCGCGGTCGCCAGGCTGCCCTGGACTTTGTGGTGGAGGAGGACCTGAAGGCCCATCTCACGTGCTGGTACATCCAGAAGTATGTCAAGGAGAACCCCCTGCCGCAGTACCTGGAGCGGCTGCAGCCGTAGCCCCGGCCGTGGGCAGGAGCGCCCCCTGCCGGCCCCTCCTCGCGGACTTGGCCCCAGCCCCGCGTGCTCTCAGGAACCTGCTCCCGCTGGGGACAGGCTCAGAGTTATTTTTGTAAGGACGCCCATCCGGGGCCCTGTGTCCAGGCTCCTGAAGATGGCTGGCCGAGGATGGGCGGTGATCCAGTGACCAGGGCAAAAGAGGGTCCCCACCGCCTTCAGTGGGCAGCGCGACAGGACCCGGGGCCAGCCCGGGGTGGGTGGGGGGGGGTCCTTGCTCTGTGATTCAGCAGGAGGCTGGCGTGGGACCCCTCCCACACCTGGTGCTGTGTCCTTTCTACGAACGAGGAGGGCATTTCCCAGAGCCGAGAGGAGCAAGAAAGAACCTCGAGTGCCAACCTCGCAGAGCGGTGGCACCAAGCCTCGTCTGCCACCAGCACTCCCCCGCCCCTCCCCCCACGTCTCTTCTGCAGAACTTTGGTGCCCAGGTGCAGGGGGGTGGGGGGCAGAGCAAAGGGCACCCCCTCCCCTGGTGTGAGCCAGAAGGGTGTGGATGGAGCTCTGGCCCAGGGGCGGCTCTGCGCATGTGCACAGCCTCGCACAGGAGCTCGGGGTGGGTGTGGGCAGGCTCAGGGAGAAGCAGTGGGTGCTTACCTTGCTTTCCTCGGTGCCTCGACTTCTGCTGGCCTCTTACCTGTCCAGGCACTCTCAGAAGGCTCGCCTGGGAGCTGGAGCTGGAGGAAGGCATACTGACCCCCCAGCGCCCACCCCAACGGCCTCATCACCAAGAGAAAGGAGCACTTCCGCTGGCAGGTTTCTTTTACTGATGCCAAACACCAGAGCGTTAGTTCTCTTTGCGGGTCCAGCTGTGGCCAGGTCCATTCTGTTGGCCTTTGTAAGTCCCACGCCCCCTACCCACACCAGCCTTCCTGGTGACAGCCTGGGAGGTGCGCCAAGCATGACTTGGGTCTGTGGGACACCCCCCCCCCCCGCTTTTAGGGGACCTTGTGTCTTCCCTTTGAGGGCTGGTTAGGGCTCGGGATCCTGATTTCTTGTGCCCTGTTCCCCACAAGGGTCAAGTCTCTTCCTGCTCCTCTATGGAGCCGAGGGTGACCCAGGAATCCAGTCCCTTTTGAGTGGAGGGGACAGTCATCAGTGAATCCTCGGATGTGACGTGCCCCTTCCTCTGGGGGGTGTCCGGGGCTCGGGTGCGTCCCCACTCCTCCCGTGCCTCCCTGCCTCCAATGCCGGGGCTCAGGGCGGGGTGGGTGTTGGGGTGCCTCGGTGACTCCTCCCCGTGGTGCTGGGCTGGCCGGTGGCCCTTTCTCCCATCACTGCCTCACGTCCCCCAGCCTTGGCACCAACATCCCCAGCTTTCCTCCCCCAGCCACGGCCAGCGCGGGGGCTCAGACAGCTTCGTGCCCGGCGGCAGCGACTTCAAGGCCCACACACACGAGGAAGGCTGGCAGCCTTCCTGGGGGGGCCCCCTCCGTTTAGCACCGCTGAGCCCCCACCACGGCGAGTCATGGGTGTGGGCCTTCGGTGGCATCTGTCCCAAGCATCCCCTGCCTCCCAGGCCTTCACCTTGGGCCGGGTGCAGAAGTTCCCGCTCTGGCCTCCAGGAGAGCCCAGGTGGCCGTTCCTCACGTGCTCCTCAGCTCTGTTCCCAAAGGGCTTCCTTGAAGGGCCAGAAAAATACCCTGGGCCTCCCGAAAGAAATGGCTGGCAGGAGGGGCTCAGCTGTGCCGTGCCCCACACAGCGGTGACCCCCGCTCCTGGGTCAAGATGCTAAATGAGCAAGTCCCAGCCCTCCGAGTAGACAAGCCGCACGGTCTCCCCTCCTGTCCAGGGGCCGCTGGACCAGGGCTTCCAGTCCCTCCCGCAGGACCCCGACCCCTCCCACACGTCCTCCCCACGTTTCCTCCGAGCTCGGTGAGCCAGTGCTGGGGCTGTGGACGACAGGATGGGGTGGCCCTGCACGCTGCAGCCTACCCACAGAGGTGGCCCTGCAGCGGCAACATGAGGGATGCCCCACGGGAGGTCCCCGAGGACTAGCACAGTCTCAAGGAGCAGGGGAGCCAGGAGGAAGCAGCCCCATCCCTGCCTGAACCCAAGGTCCCCACCCACCGCGTTCTGACAGCAGATGACTGGCCACGAGCCCGTGAGACACTCACTCAGTACTTGAATATGGAGGCCCTGGGCCCAGGAGGACTGGCCGGGTCGTCCCCAGTGGGCCCGTCCCAAGTTCCTGCGGGGGTGGGGGACCTGAGCATGCTCACCTCCTCGGGTTGCCTTAAAGCCCCAGACTCCACAGCAGGGGTGGTGACCGAGCTGTGCTGGGCCTGGCCCTGGTCACCAGCTGAGCCTTGGAGCAGCAGCAATAGCTACATCCCCACCCTGACCTGGAGCCCCCGGCCCGCAGCCCAGTTCAGCTTCTGGTGCTACCCTCCTGCCCGGCCTCCCCGCCACACCCCTCTCTTGATCCACTTCGCTCCAGGAGCAAAGGGACATTTGCCCCCTCTCCACTGGGAGCTGTTCATCTGAAGCCTCGTGCTCTCCTCCTGCTGGGTCTGACCTGGGGGGGGGCGGGTTCCCTTTCTTTGTCCAGTCCACACAGGTGCCTTTCCTACCCAGGACCCACCCGCCCCAGGGGTGTCCGGCCAGCTAGACCCCGTCCCCGGTCCTTCTCAGATTTCTGAACATAATGATGAGCATTTCAACAGAAGGGAGACCTCGGCTCCCCGGGAGCTGTCCCCCGTGCAATCTAGTGTGTGCAGTGAGGACGTTGGAGCCCCCCCCACAGGGGCAGGAGGAATGGGAAAGGCAGGCTACGAAGGTGTTCTTTGTTCCTTGTCACTAGGGACCAACCTAACCATCAGCACCTGCCAGAGACTCTGAGACACCCGGACGTGGCTGAGATTCCCCTTGCAGGACAGTGGCTTTGGCATTAGGGTCCCCACCCTGGTATGGGCAATGCCTCTCCCGTCCAGCAGGCCCGACCCACCCCACACAGTTCCACTTTCCCTGAGGTCACAGTCTAACTCGGACCCCAGCCTCTCACCTGCCTGGGAACAGCTACAGGTTTCCCGGGACACGGCTGGTGAGGTGACATCAGCCTCTTCTACAGGAACTGCGCTCAGTCCTAAAAACTTGGGGATTTTTTTTTTTTCAGAGCAGGAAGTTGGGGGGGGGTGTCCATCCAAATGCCAACAGCCTAGGGATCATAATGAAGGCCATGTCCCATGCCATCCTGTTGCCCAGAGAGGTCGCCTTCTCCCGAATGGGAATTTTCCTAGTAGTTCCCAGTTGGAGAGTAAAATATCTAACTCCCCCCACCCAAAAAAGAGGAGAGGCACAGCGGTGGCTGAGCCTTTCACAGTCTCAATTTTCAACCATCCCAGGAGATGCCAGTAGTTGGGCCTGTTCAACAGATGAAGAAACTGAGGGTCATAGGGAGTCAGTAGCCTGCAGCTCACACAGAGGGACTAAGCCAAACCCATCCTCCCTGAATGATGGTGCCAAGCTTGTGATTTTATTTCTACTTCAGATGACAGATGGCCCCAGAAAGCAATAAACAGATAACATTTTCCACTTCCCTGCTCATTTGGGGTGGGGGGGATGAGGTGGGCCCTACTGGGGCTCCCAGGTGTGAGACCTCAAGAGTGCCTGGCTGCCATAGAGAGGGCTTGAGTCTCACGGGTGGTGGGGTCACAGCAGGAGTGTGCACGTCCTCACACTGTTCTCGCTCGGTTCAGCGTCCCTAGGTTGGTTCAAGTCCACCCAAACATCCCTTTTACAATTCTCAGGGTCCCACTTCTTCCAGATCAGTGCCCTAAATCTCCCACGAGATCCGGCGAGGCGGTGCGTTCAGCCTGCTACTCTGCCACCTGCAGGATCGAGTTTAGGGTCATGTTCTCAGTTCTCTCTGCCCAAGGAGACAAAATGATTAAAGACGCTTTTCTGGTTGTCGAGGATGCTCTCTGGTTTTTCTCTCAGTGTCGTGAGTTTTCTTTCTCATACCGGCGATTTAACCCGGTGGTGCTTTACTGCTGAGCCACATCCCCAGCAGCCCTCTTGATGTTTTACTTATAGACGTGGCCTCCGCTGAGGAACTTGAGATCCTCCTGCCTCAGCCTCCCCAGTAGCTGAGATTACAGGTGTGGGCCGCCGCGCCCAGCCACTACCCACCCGTGTCGAGCTGAGGAGTTGGTCATGTTTTCTACCGGATCTCCAGTGTGGTGACGTGTCAGCTTTTTGTTGATACGACCAAAAGGACAACTTAGGAAAGGCGAGGTTTATTGGGGGCTGTGGTTTCAGAGGTCTCAGTCCGTGGCTAGCTATTGCCATTGCTCTGGGTGGTGGAAGGGGGTGGTGGAGGGAAGCTGCTCACCTTGTGACAATGGGGAATCTGACAGGAGCCAGGGACCAAATATAAACCCTAATGACCCACTGCCTTCAGTTACCACCCAGCGAGGCAGCCCTTTCAAATTAGCAGTCCAGCAAATGGATTAATCCACTGGCTGGGTTATAGTCCTCACAGTCTGATCTTTTCACCTCTGAATATTGCTCCGTTGCCCAACATGAGCATTTATGGGGCATACTTAATGTCCAAACTGTACAGGTGAGAAGCCTCCGGGCCTCGTATGCTGCACCCCCATGACCATGGTCAAGGGCAGCGGCTATTTGGTCTCCCAGGCTTTGCCTTTAAAGAACGCGTCACCCCAACACTTGAAGTAGGTGGCATTGGAAATGCGGGTTCCGCCACTTGTCAGTGTGTTCCGGGCTGTCGCAACGGAATTCCCAGGACTGAACTTAGAGAGAGCTGGAGGGTGAGGGGCCCACCTCGGGCAAGGGTCTTGAACCCCCATCCCCAGCTTGTCCTGTTAGGAGAAGCTCGGGGAGGGAGCCACTAGATGTGGAATGACACTGAGACCGGGCACTCTCAGGTGGGCAACTCTGATCCACTACACACTCCTGCCGTGACGTTCTGTGCCACCAAAGTGACAGGACCAAGTGACTGTGCAGCCTGAAACCTCTGAATTTGTAAATCAAACCTTTCCTCTTCGTAAGTTGATTATCTCAGGGATTTTGTCACAGCAAGGGAAAGTAACACAAGGAGAGCCAGGCAGGAGCGATGTGTTGGTGTTTTATCTGAGACAACTGAGTGCCGGGAACTAGGGGAGCAGGTTGTCCTGTGAGAACTTCCCAGCAAGCCTGGGAGGAGAGAACCTGGGCTCCTTACCAGCAGAGCTGCCCTTCAGAGGTCCAGGGCCAAACACCCAAGGGTCCCCAAGTAAGGATGCCCAGACAGGGCTCCATCTTCACAGTCCCGTGGGGGTGGTGAGAAATCACACACCAGAAGGAACTCTGTTGAGACTGCCGGTGCACACCAGGTGAGGCCAACAACTTCCAGCAGAGGAGGAAGGCTTTCTTGAAGAAGGGACATGTGAGCTTCATGGTGGGAGGAGCTGCAGGCCCTGAATGATGGGCCCCCGTGATCTGCAACCTTATCCACTGCTCTTCCCCATCTCACCCACCTCAGTCATCCAGGCCTCCCTACTATTCCCCATACCTGCAAAGCCACTCCCACCACAGGGCCTTTGCACGTGCTGTTGTTCCGTCTGCTTGGAGTGCTCTCCCCACATATGTTCATGGCTCCCTCCACATCTCCTTCAAGTCTAGGCCTGGTTATCAGCTCCTTGGTGAGGACTCCTTCCCAATCTCCCCCCCACACACTCTTTTTGGTACCAGTATTGAATGAACCTGGGGTGCTTAACTACTGGACTACATCTCCAGGCCTTTTTAGTTTGAGATGGTTTCACTCCGTTGCTAAGGCTGGGCTCCAACTTGCTATCCTCCTGCCTCAGCCTCCCCAGTTATTGGGATCCCAGGCGTGCATCTCCACGCCCACCCTCCCCTCTTAAGACGGCTATGCCCTCCACTCCTGAATCCTTACCCTAGCTCTATTTTTTCCCCATTTACTCCTCACACAATACATAACTTGTTTGTCTTGTTCATTCTTCGTTGACCACAGGCTCCACAATGGCGGGAGTTTGTTCTTTGTTTGCTCACGGGGAATATCCCAGCCCGCAGATCAGCGCCTGTCCCGTACTCAGCGCTCAAAGACCTCTGCTGGATGGGGAGACGGGTGGATGGACAGATAGATGAATTCAGAGGTGGGTGGGGGACAAAGAGTGAATGGACAGATGGACAGAATAGACAGACGAGCGGAGGGCAGGATGGGTGGGCAAACCAAGCATCCTGAGAGCAGGCTCAGGTGTGGGCTGGGCTCGGCGTCTTTGAGGAACTGGATGGGCCCTCTTAAGGCTAAGGGATACGACCTCTCAGGGGACATAGGACATCCCAGCTAGCTCTCACGGGTTTTTGTGGGTTTGGGTTTGTGGTACGAGGGATTGAACCCAGGAGGGGCTCTCTCACTGAGCTGCACCCGGCACTTAATTTTTTGAGACAGAGGGACACTCAGTTATCCAGGCTGGCCTCCAACTTGCGATCCTCCTGCCTCAGCCTCCTCCTGGCCCTTCTGGCTCAGGCAGAGGCCCCTGGAACATCTTTGCATGTGCTTAGATTCTCTCTGGGTGCAGGGTTCTCTCCTGCTGCTCTGACCCAAGGATCCGGATTCGGTATCCATTCCCCCCACCGCCAATAGCACCCCCCCCAGGGGCCAACAGTTTAACACGTGGGCCTCTGAGGAACGCTGAAGCAGACCTCAAATAAATCAAATCTGGGGGTTCTTCAGACAGAGCCTCTGCCCAGAAAGCGAGGGTCAAATGAAGATAGCGACAGTTGAGAGAGAGAGCTTCAGGGTAAGTGTCCAGCAGCTGAGAGGGTCAGAGAGGTGGGGACCAAGAACCAAAGATCAGAGAACCCTGGGTGGGGGGGCCACATGGAACTTTCCAGAAGGTAAATTCCCTACCCTCTGGAGGGGGTTGTATTGCCAAAGTCGTGAGCCTTGGACCCCAAGCCTATCTGGGCAGGGAAAGGGGTGCAGAAACTTGAGCCCCCTCCCCAGGTTGGGCCATAAGGAAAACTGAAGGGGGGAGACTCCCCCCCAGAGAGCAAAGCTGGGGTCCAAGCCAGGAAACCCCCACAGCGTGGACAGAGGTCTGTACCATGCCTGATCCTGGGGATGGCATCACTGTTGGGGCCTGGGACTGCTGTGTGTCCCCTGTTCCCTGTTTTTTTTTTTGCACCAAGAATCCGTTTCCTCCAGGGGCCGGTAATCCCACCACTTGGGAGGCTGAAGCAGGAGGATCACCTGTTGGAGGCTAGCCTGGACGACTTAGGGAGATCCTGTCTCAAAATAAAAAGTGAAAAGGGGCCAGGAATGTAGGTCCATGATGGAGCAGCCCCTAGGTTCAATCTCTGGTGCCATTAAAAAATCATAACAAAAATGTAACAGTAAAAATCCACCCCGCCCCCGCCCCGCCGTCCTTCCTGAACACTGTTTCCCGGGTTCCTCTGCAGTCAACTGGGATCACCTGGGAACTGAGACCTTCCTGCAGCCTCCCCGCCTCCCTGGCTGGATTCACAGGGGGTTGATGGAGGCCTGAGGCTGTGGAGCCTGGACCCTGAGTCACTGTGTGGAGGGAGGCGAGTGCCAACCGCAGCCCTTGTGCCCTGTGAAGGTTTGCAGCCTGTGGCCAATATCCTGACCACACAGAGGCCATCTCAGGCCTCGTGGCCGAAGGGTTCTAGGCAGGGGGTGGCGCAGTCAGGCTTGTTTTAGAGCAATGATGGTGGCTGGGCCTGGGGAAATGTCAGGGGTGGGAAGGCCGGTTGGGAGGCCGTGGCAGACGCCAAGTGAGAGAAGGTGTCGTCCTGGGTGGGGACAAAGAGAGAGACCGGGTCAGGGTGGGATGTTTAAGTCGTCTCGGGGTCACACAGCTGACGGGTGGCAGGTGGGATTCGAACACAGGTCTGTCTGTGCAGAACAGCGTGCGGAGGTGCAGGGCCTGTCTACAGCTGGCTCCCCACTCGGCTCCTGCCCACCCAGGCCAGAGCCACCTCCCTCTCCCGACTCTGGGCCGCCGTGACTGCTGGCTGTGCTCCATGCAGCTGCCGGAGGGAGCTCTCTAAACCCACAACCTGTTCAGGACTCCCCAGGGCCCAGGGTCTCAGTGCCGCTCGGCTCACCCTGCCCTTGATTTCTGTCCTACCTACCACTCAAGCTTGTTCCTTACGGTACCAAAACGTGCCTCTAATAGATGTCCTCGTAATCCGATCTTCTTTGTCATTCAGGTCTGCTTTAGTCTACTACAAAATTCCAACTTACAGTGGCAGTTCATGTATTGTTTAGATCCCAAAGTCTGGAGAATTGTGGCCCAGGGCTTATCACCAAATATCATCAAGATACCAATGATGTCACCTGATGAGTGCAATGATGCAATGACGTCACCAAAGGCACAGGCTCTTTTCCATCATCCTTACCATCTTTTGTCCTTATGAGTAGTTGCCTCATGGTCACAAAATGGCTGCTGCACTTCCAGGCATCACATCCATATTTCATAGTCTGTGCCTTCCTAGACCTGAACTCCATATAATTTCTTGGAATTTTGTTGCTTGTTGA